AAAAAGAATGATCATGGGGCACCTGGGTGGCTCAGTCGGTTAAGCATCCGACTTTGGCTCAGGTCATGATCTCAGAGTCCATGAGTTCGAGCCCCGCGTTAGGCTCTGTGCTGACAGCTCGGAGCCTGGAGCCTGCTTCAGATTCTGTGTCTCCCTCTCTCTGACCCTCCCCCGTTCATGTTCTGTCTCTCTCTGTCTCAAAAATAAAAAATATATATATAAAAAAAATTTTTTTTTAAATAAATAAATAAAAAAGAATGATCACGTCCCAAATGTCAATAGTGCCAAGGCTGAGAAAGTCTGCTTCGAGACTTAGCCACAAAATAGTTTTAATAATGCCAGTAGGTTTTATGAGGATTAAGTGATTTAATATATACAAAGAACTTGCCGTACAGTACATGATAAAAAGGGAATAAGAAAAAAAAATTCAAGAGGAATATGAAGATGGCGGGAGGAAGATGCTCATGAGAAATGTCTCATTGCAATTTTGAATTGAGCGTTTACTTCCAGGGCATGGAAAGCCGTCTTTGGTTTTGATTGCTGATCCTTAAAATATAACATCCTGATAGGACCAGGCCCTGGGTTTGCTGCAAGTCTGAGGTAGACCCCCCTCAGGGGGCAAACTGATATCAGCCAAGACCTTCCAACCACCAGTGTTGGCCTCACCTCCGTGAGAAGAGAGAGGAAACCTCTTCAGGGTTCCAGGGGAAAGGGGTGTGGGGGTTGTGGGGCGGCCAGCGAGGCCCGACTCCAACAACATGGTGGGCTCTGCTGTGTTTATTGAATGCTGGGGTTGGTGGAAAGAGGAGGGGCCGCCAGCCTTTCTTCTGTTTCTTCTTAAGAGTTGCAAAATATTACAAACGCAGACCTGGCAGAAGTGGCAGTATTTGTTGGCCCAATCAGAGTACCTCAATTTTTATGTAAATTTTGATTTATCTTTTCCGGGAGCCTGGGTGGTTCGGCCGGTTAACGTCCACCTTCCGCTCAGGTCACCATCTCATGTTCGTGAGTTCGAGCCCTGTACTGGGCTCTGCACCGGCAGTGGGATTCGCTTTCTTTCCTTCTCTGTCTGCCCCTCCCCAACACCCTAAATAAATAAATAAATAAATTTTAATTTATCTTTTCAATCTCTGTGGAAGTCATTTCGTATTCATTATGTGGGGGTGGGGGGGAATCCAACAAAACGAAAAAGGAAAAAGCACACATAGCTTTACTATTCAAAAACAATTGCAACTATTTTGACATGCGTTCCTTCGGGTTTTTCCCTGTGCATACAGGGCATTATGTACACCTTTTCAAATAAAATTGGAATCATCTCATTAAAAAACTCTGTAACCTGCTTTTTAATTTAATAATGCATTTTAGCTAGTGTCAATCTCTTCTGTATTCACTTGTCAAAATATAAACATCTTTCTAATTACAAAAGGAATAACCGCTAAATGTGAAAGAAATGCCAACCGTGTACAGACAAGATGAGGGAGGGGGGAAACCGCAGTATTTGTTAGGAAACTGTGACTTCGATTGGCATAAGCAACCCAACTACAGAAAGTTCAGAGGTAGGACAGGCTCAACATTGTCATCAAGATTGCAGGTGCTTTGTTTCTCTCCTCTGCGGTCTTCAGCACCCTTATCTGCAAGCCCGTTCTCCTCATGGTCACAAGATGGCTTCCAGTGGCAGCCAAGACTGCATGGTCCCTTCTTGTGTCCCTCTGCCCCGGGGAAATATCAGCTCATTCTTTAAGTCTAATGGGTCAGCTTGTGTCCTACGCCCTGCTTGACCAATAACAGTCACCAGGGCAACCCTAATCGCTCATGAGCTAGGACTGGTCAGGTACAGAGCCCAGGCTGGGGGTCAGCTTGTTCTGAAGGGCATGGCTAAGGGAGGAGGGGCGGACACCTTAACTCAGTGGGGATTCTGTCAGAAGAGATGAGGGGCGGACACCTTAACTCAGTGGGGATTCTGTCAGAAGAGATGAAAGGAGAATGTGTGGTTAGATAGGCCGTCAACAGTGTTCACGTCAGTTCTCCCCTCTGGCTAGCCAACGTGCCTCACCCTTTCCCCTCTATCCGTTTGAAACAACAGCCACAACTTCATAAGATGGACGCAGCCCTTTCCTGAAGGGAGGCAACGAGGGGTCTTCGGACTACTGCATACATCGTGAGTCCTGGGTCTCTGGGGGTTCCGCAGGCCTTTTCGTTCTGTTATTTTGAGCGTATTTTGTTGTTGAATTTAGTTAGGAAGAGAAGCACTTTTCTGAGCCTTTCTTCCAGAACGGGCTCTTCTTTTTCTTTTCCTTTGAGGGGGTGGGAGGCAGGGTTATCCCACAGACCCCAAGACGGGTTTCTCCTTGCTTAGTCATTTTGAACTAGTGGCAGGTCTATGCGGGCCTGCGCTGCACTCCCCAAACGATACCCGTGCACTCTTTGGTTATCTCCCTGTTTTTCTCAAGCGTGGTTTGCTTCCTCTGACTCGCACTTGGGTCTACACCATTTATATGTATTGGTCCCAGGGCTGCCTGAGGAGACTGGGGAGGACAGTGGTTCCGCCAGCCATCAAAGCTGGGAACAATTTGCACGTTCATTTGATTTGTGTTGCTGTCATTGAGACCCTTGACAAGAGGCCCGGTCCAATGAATAGAGAGCCTACTTTGTCCCATGGGTCGTGGTGGGGTCTGGAGGTGTGGGTTTGTCTCCCCTCTCTGGCTGATCAAAGCTGGAGGCGGAGCCCTGCTGAATGGCGTGAACACCTGGCCTTGTGTGGCCGCAGGCACTTTCCCCCACCCAGCTTGCTCTGTCCGAAGCTGTCAGTCCTTCACAAGCAATTGCTGCTAAAAGCTGATTTCTGGGGGTGGCTGGGTGTCTCAGTCGGTTAAGTGTCCACTGCCGGGTCAGGTCATGATCTCATGGTGTATGAGTTTGAGCCCCACTTCAGGCTCTCTGCTGTCAGCATGGAGTCCGCTTTGGATCCTCTGTCTCCCTCTCTCTCTGTCCCTCCCCTGCTCATTCATGCGCTCTCTCTCTCTCTCTCTCTCTCTCTCTCAAAAATAAATAAATTTATAAAAGAATTAAAAAAAAAAACTGATTTCTGGACTCTGTCCCACCACTGTGGCCTTCGACCGATGTTTGGCTTTACAGTGAGGAAAAAGGGCCCCAAGCGGAACATTCCAGATCTTTTCTTTTGCCAATTCAGGCCCCTATTTCCTGTCTTTCCAAAGTGAGAATTATTTTTAGTGGGATTTTCAGAAATTCTGCCTCTTCTCACTCCAAAAAGGGAGTTGTGGATTGATTCCCAGAATTTTATATCAATTTAGGCTTAATTGTTTTGGAGTTAGAGTTGTATTTCTTGAAGTCTGAAATATGAGATTGTGAAAATCCCCTAGATTCTTTGTTGGGCGATACTTTCTTTGGTATATCTTGTTTTGTTCATTCCAGTGAGTATTGGAAGGAGATTTTTATAAACCTGCTAATCCATCACTCTTTCCTGGATGCCCCCAAAGCACTTTTCATGGTTACATAGCACCCCAATCACATGGATGAGGTCAAAAGCACTTACCCAGATTCCAACTGGCAAACATTCAGGTGATTTCCAATTTTTTTTGTCAGTATATAAAAGCTACAAAAACTTGGTACATGATATTTGTGCATGTCTCTATTTCTTGTGTAAATTACCACATTTTCAATAATGACAAGGAATTCAGCTGTATTTTGCCCCTTCTCAGCACTGTCTTAGTTTTTCAGTTAAGTGCCTCTAAATAAAAACCATCGCAAGAGTCCTTTGTCATATTGTAGAGCACTTTTCAGCTCCTGTTCTTCCTACCAGACCATATGTTGACCCAGATAACCTAATCCCTGTATCCAGGAACATGATTGGTCTACCAGGGATGTTCATTACCCTCATTTCTACCCTCCTTCTGCACCTTCTCCTGGTCTTTATCACCCCCAGTTTCTCTCCATGTACTTTCTACTTATTCTCTTGAATTTTCAGCTGGTTTTCACCATATACCTCTGAAGTTTTCAGATCCGTTTCTACCAAGGCTTTATCTTGTGAAAATCAGTGAGATAGAACTAACAACCTTCTTAGCACTGTACCCCTCAGAATAAAATATCATACACACACACACACACACACACATGCTGAAACTCTGACATATCACTGTCATAAGGCAGAAACCAATAATCTTGTGTTTGTCAAACCATGAAGACCACCCGCATGAAAACTCTCAGAGGTGCTTGTTAAAATCCAAATTCCTGGACTGCCCCTGGGGTTAACTGGATTAAAAATCTCTAGGGATAGGGGAACAGGAATCTCTGTCTTACTTTTTTTTTTTTTAATTACTTTTTAATGTTTATTTATTTTTATTTTGAGAGAGAGAAAACACAAGTGAGAGAGGGACAGAGAGAGAGGGGAACAGAGGATCCCAAGTGGGCTCCGTATACTGACAGGCTGACAACAGGGAGCCCGACGTGGGGCTTGAACTCACAAACCCGGAGATCATGACCTGAGCCAAAGTCAGAAGCTCAACTGACTGAGCCACCCAGGCACCCCAGAATCTGTGTTTCAGTGATTTCTCTAATGATTCCGATGCTTATTAAAATACGTAAACTTCCCTAACTTACTAGAATTCTTTTTTTTTTTAACTTATGAAAATTCTTGTATTCAACGCTGCATAAGCCGACTCAGCAACTCCCTTTCTATCATGCCGTTTAAATAAACACGCTACTAATCATGTGCCTCAATTGATGGTAATACTGATACAATCTCCACAAAGCCAAAGAACATCATGTGCTGGAACTTAGAAGTATCACCACATCTGACACGCCTCTCCTTGCTAGTCCCTTCCTGTTCACTTGGGGTCAAGTGACCAGTTCTGACCCCCCCTGGGCTATGAGTAGGATTTAGTTGCGTTCACACTGTGCCTTTGCCATGGTGCTAATGAAGCCATGTGCTAAGATGGTGCCTTGAGATAGTGAAGTCCGTGTCAGCGTGAGTCTCTGATGGTCCGTAAAGCCAGACCGCTGTCAACTTTCAATACAGCGTGAGCGAAAAAAATAAGTTACAGAGATTTTAAGGGTTATTTGCCACTGCAGCATGACCGAGTCTTATTCTGAATAATTCAACTAAGATCCCTATTTCTCATTCGCGCATCAGTATCAGAGGGTCTTCTGATCATTTAAAACCAACTCATGATAAGAAATCTCCAGTTCTGTAAATCTGAGCTTTATTCGAACATTGCCCTCCTGAAATCCATTTTTATCCTTATAACTAATTTTACCGCATTTGCTTCCGTGCAAACAAGAGAAAACACTTTCTGTGGTTGAAAGAGGGGCGTTAGGAAGCTCGATGACCTGGAAAAAGTAAGTGAGGTAAAAATGAGTCAATCAGCGGTTGACCTGGAGAAAGAACCCAGAACTTGCTCTGTCAACCTGGCTTGACAACCATTCACTTTCTTCTTTTTTTTTTTTTTCTTACCACTAACCGTGATAAGAAACCTCAAATTTCTCATAAGTCCAAAATGCATATGTACTATGATCACGATATTATATACAATGCGCTGTAATTTTACACAAAATACGCTAAACTATAGACTGGGCTTGCTACCCTATTCATTGTTGAGTCAGAATGCCATTGTGATTTCCAATTATCTTATTCAATTCTGGTCGTGGCTCAGTTCCGCCATATCTGCTGATATTTTAACTCAGGGCCAGTCTTAGAAACTGTGCCAACACTTCTACCTTTCCTAACCCCCATACCTACTGGGTCTGTAAGGGAGGAAAGAAGGGCCTTGCACCCCTTTGCACTTCCTGATATCAGTTCTTTGAGTCCCAAGCCCATTATTTGTTCCTTGAAAGGTAACAAATGTACGAGGCAAAGAAAAATGGGGGCAAAAGGAGAAAGAGAAGGCAAGAATTGTTTTGCTCTAGCTGCTCCTTTTCGTCCTTTTTCTATTTGCCTTTCCTTCTCCTCTGTTAGCATAATCTCTAGTGTCTACTTTCTGTTTGTCTTTGTCTTACTTTGATCATTTAGCATGTAAATTACTTAAATGTCATGAGCATCACTCAGAAGCTGATAGTCTATGAACTTTCTCCTAGGAAAACTACACATAAACTCTATTTATTTATTTATTTATTTACTTATTTATTTTAACAAATGTGGTTTTTTTAAATGTTTATTTATTTTGAGAGAGAGAGATAGAGCAAGCGGGGGAGAGGCAGAGAGAGACGGAGACAGAATCCCAAGCAGGCTCCGAGCTGTCAGCACAGAGCCCTGAGCGGGTCTCGAACCCATGAACCGTGAGATCATGACCTGAGCAGAAGTCAAGAGTCGGAGGCTTAAGCGACTGAGCCACCGAGGCGCCCTGCACATAAACCGTATTTCGAAGCTCAAATTAAGTAAACTCTGTAAGAACCAGATATTCTGTCCTCAACTAAAAGTCTCTATGTTCTCTTCTAAAGTAGTCATCTGAAATCTATTGGCATTGTAAGAATCCGCCCCTGACATTTTCTTGGAACTTTTATATCCCATTTTCCGGGTCACAGGTTCTTGATGGTTACTGAGAAAACTTTTTCCAGGAGTCAGCCTGGGGTGGTGAAAAGAACATGAACTTTACAATAACCCGTGCCTAGATTAAATGGTGGCTGTAGTGCTTATTAGCTATGTGACAATAGAAAACACATGGAATCCCTTGAATCTCCCTCACCTCGTCGCTCATTGTTTCCCTTCCACAGACAAGGTGAAATGTGGAGTGAGGATTATCAAGCTAGTTCGGGCCTGTGGCTGTATCTAGCATTCTCTTTGGAATGAATGGCTCCCAGCATTCATTGCTACCAGCACGAAAGTCTATGGAAATCCTAAGACAACAACAAAAAAATTAGAAAGTAATATTTTCTCTCATCAGCAAGACAGAAACTCAAATCATGCACATTATGAGTTAGACTTGAGAGATTAATCTGATGCCTCCGAAGGATTATTTCTTCTTTTCCTTCTTAATCTTTGAGAGATTCTTTTGTATAAGTTAGTGATGTTCTGTTTCTTTATATTCTTCATCTCATGTGGGACCTGCTCTTCATAATTTTCTTCTGTCTCATTATTGAAGAATTATTTTTAAATTAAAAAAAAAAACTTATTTCAACAAGCTAGGTTTCATTTCATCAAAATGAAACCTAAATTTATCAGCTCCTCTAAATTTCCTATCTAACAAGTTATGAAGAAGGTGAATTCACACTCATCTCTTCCTTACACACTTATACCAACTATCTCTGCATTGTCTACACAGAGACATTCCTATTTGATTCTAGCCAGACTATAGTCAGTGATATATTATTTTGTACTCAAAACCGAAAAATTTCAAATACTAAATAGAATAAAAAATTCCTCTGTAAATATAACCAAGTCACAGAACCTATAATATGTTCTAATGTGCCCCTGTACAAAGAAAGCTCAACTCCAAAAGAAAACTTTGAAGAGAAATCTGAATACATTCTCTTTTCCTAACATGAAAGACCGATTCCTCAATGGGTTTCAGATGATTTTGTCTTATTTTCCCACTCACTTCTGTGGGTTTGGCACAAATCGTTCCAGAATGTCAGAAGGTGGTGATTACGTTTGATATCCCTCCTCCAAAATGGCGCCAGAAAGTTCACGCAGGGGCTCCTGCTGAGCGTGGAGGGGAAACGTCACAGCTGTATCCCATTCAAAGGGTGCTGAGCTCGGGGTTAACTGGACGGAGGAGGGAGGGAAAAGAGGAGCAAAGAAAATCATCGTTCCAGAAAAGTCGTGCCTTCCTCAGCTTGGGCCACATTTTCAGGTTATCACAAAAGGACAGTACGTAGGACTAAAAAGGCAAAGAATTTGTTTGGCTGAAGCTTTAAGACAGGTGTTAGACCGGAAGAGGGGTAAATGCAGGCATGATGTCTGGTCTTCCTCTGTCCCAGCTAGAAAGCCCCCCTTCCCCTGCCCTGCGGTGGGGGCAGGGGTCATCTGAGTTGCCTTCCGGTGAGGTGGGAACAAAGGAGGAGACTTGGCCAGGGAGGGTAGGGGAAGAGGAGGGTTTGGCATAAACTTCCTTCTCTGCTCTTCTTTGTCTGACAGCTGGCCCGGGGGGCCATCCACCAGCCCCGAGGCACAGAGTCTTCTGTTTAGACCAGGGAGACCACCTCACCATTGTTTATGTGAATTCACCCTTTCAGACTCACGATGGATGTTCTTGCAAAAAGGCATCCCGATGGACCACCCATTACCTGTGTAGGTGGTGACCTTAGTCCCCCAGCTGTGGGAGGGCTGCCCGCAGACAGCTCTCAGCGACTGGCCTCCTGGGACATTGCCTCAGTTGAAAAACAAGCGCCCCACCCAAGGTTATACACCCTTCCCAGGGTGGCCCACATCCAGTGACTAACTGGCCTAGACTTTGACACAAATGGGGCAGCTCTGAGAGGCCGTCCCGAGTTCAGAGCTCTCTGTGGTGCCCACTGGAGCTGTTGTTAGACAGCCTTCACCACAGCCCAACGTTGCGGTGTCCCCGGCCCTGATTCGTTCTCTTCCTCTCCCTCCCTCAAGGGAGATGCTGGGCGAGTTCCTGCGTAAATGTCCTACACACACGTCTCCACCTGCCAGTCAGCTTCCTGGAGGAAGCCGTGAGCATTGATATGTGCTTCACTGTACTGAAAACATTAGCGCACACGTTCCGAATTTGATAGAAGGCTCTGTCTTAAATATGGCACAATTTCTCGAGGGACTTCTGACGGTGGTCTGTTAATAATGAGCTACCTTTATAAAAGAAATGATTCGACCCACGACACTCGTTCAGTTTTATGTGGAAAGTGACCGCCGTTAAGATGAAGGCTTAGCAACACAGGAAAGTGAACTTGGAGTCTGAGGGGACGCGTCTGCTGTCCATGACAAAGTCTCCCAGGCACTAAGCGGGACGGGATGTCAGGGAGCAAGCCTGGTCATGTGAGCCCCAATTTGTTGCCAGCAGCTTAAAATTTTTTCAGTTGTTGCTTAGTGTCACCCCCGGTCTCCTCCTCCACTAGAAGGGGAGGGGAAAAGCACACATTAGCACACTTCGCTCAAATAAAACACCTCCCAGCTGTCCCCAGCTCCCTTACAAAAGACAAAACCCTCCCAGCCCACAGATGCCTTGCTTGTATAGGAAGGAGAGGGGAGGGAGAGAGATTGTTCAATTCCTGAGCAGCGGAGGTGACCTTGGGGGGGGGGGGGCGCACTGTTGGTTGGTGAGCACTAAAGATGGAAATAGAATGGGAACTCCTTTACTCCTATTAGAGAAAGTGTGAGGGGGGGGGGGGGGGAAAATGGGAGATGAAGAGGGGAAGGAATTTTGAAGATGATCCAGGGAAAGTACGCAGTAACAGTAGGAAGCCCCCAGTGCATGGGAATCTCCGTTTTGGTAAAAATCGGTGATAATTTATGTATAACTCTTGATAAAGTCCTGTTGTCTCCCGAAGGAGGTGTAACCACAGGCATGTCAAATAACAAAAAGCAAAAGAGAGGGTGCTGATTTTTTTTTCCTTTTTTTTTTTTTTAAGTGTATTCTCTTGCTGACTGATTCCTTTCTCCAGAAAGCAACTGCTTAATATTGAGAAAAGAGCTAAAACTCTTTTGTAATATGCTCTGGGGAAAGAAAAAAGAAGAGGAAGGAAAGCTGATACAATACTACCAGAAAAAAAAAAAAAAAAAAGCCTGTGCAGTGTTAGCTTACATTGGAAACAGTTTGGTCTCTCAGAAGGGAAAAGAAGTATAGGTTTCCACCGCTATCCAGAAGTAAAGCGTTCCTGTGAAACCTTTCCTAAGCCAGAGTGGCGCAAAGAGGCAATTTCCATTAAAGTGGATGGGACGTTTTTGAGTGTTCCAGACCTGCAAAATAACCTCCCTTGAGCTTTTTTTTTTTTTTTTTAAAGTTTATGTATTTATTTTGGGGGAGGCAGAGACAATGTGAGTAGGGGAGGAACAGAGAGAGTGGGTGAGAGAGAATCCCAGGCAGGCTCCTCACTGTCAGCACGGAGCCCCGGTGGGGGCTCGAACTCAACATACCGTGAGATCATGACCTGAGCCAAAACCAAGAGTGGGACACTTAGCTGACTGAGCCAGCCAGGCACCCCTCTTAAGGTTTTTTTTTTCCTTAATGTTTTTTATTTATTTCTGAGAGAGAGTACATGAGCAGTGGAGGGGCAGAGGGAGAGGGGGACAGAGGATCTAAAGTGAGCTCTATGCTGACAGCAGGGAGCCCCAGGCAGAGCTTGAACTCATGAACTGTGAGATCACGACCTGAGCTGAAGTCGGACATTCAGAAGACTGAAGCTCACTCTTTGGGTTTTCTGATTTGATCTTAGGACGCATCTTGCCAACGGATGCACAAAATAGATCAAGATAAAGCACAGACGCTCGTGGACGCAGTTTCAAAGCCTTGGCCGCTTAATGCTGACTTGCTGAGTAGAATTCCTGGGGAAGGGCCAGGCCCTGCCTGGGCTACATGCTGACTCTCTAAGGGCTTGCTGCAAAACAAATGCTGAATGCTGTTTTTGCTTTTCACCTTTTCTCACAAAAGCAAAAATCCTCTTTGGATTCCTCTCAGGGAGAACAGGTACTAGGGTAGGTCTTTTGCAAAAGTGAAGTGGCCTAACATAAACTTTCCAAAAGTAGAAGATAACAGAGGCGCCTGGGCGGCTCAATCGGTCAAGCATTCGACTCTTGATTTCGGCTCAGGTCATGATCTCAGGATCTCATGGTCCGTGAGTTCAGAGCCTGGAGCCTGTTTTGTATTCTGTCTCTCTCTCGCTCTCTCTCTTTCTCGATCTCTGCCCCTCCCCCACTCACGCTGTCTCTCGCTCTCTCTCTCTCTCTCTCTCAAAATAATAAATAAACATTAAAAAAAAATCAGAAGTAGAAGATACCTGTCTAGGAAGAAATAAATGGCCAAATCAGAAAGAAAAAAATAAAACTCTGATTATACACAGGAAAAACTAAGCTATTTAAGAGAACTTATTCAGAGCATGTATGTTTAGTTAACACATTGCTTTGGAAAGAAGTGGAAATTGCTGTCATCTGGGTGTTCTCTATCTGTTGATGATCTTGCTTGGTGTTAGTAACTGGAGGGCTTGTAAGGGGATTTTAAGGGCATTTGTAAACAGATGCTGCGGCTTATCATCAGCCACACCACCCCCCCAGGAAGCCTAAGGCCACCCCCATTCCATTCTGTGCCTGAGAGGCCCATGGTGTTACATGCGTGGAGATACAGGGGAATTCATTAAGAAGCCTCTAGAATTACAATTTATACAGATTATAATCTTTGCAGATCGTGTGGCCGCAACTCCAAATACAGTCCTTAGGTCCTTTGATTTGAGATCATGAAAGGTAGACTTTTCTTTCTAAGAGAATCTTAACTCACTGAGTTTGGATAAAATATGTTATACGTATGCTAATCTCTCTTCCGGTATTATATTCTTGATATATTTCAGGTCCCACAGGTGCTAAGAGGCAAACGCTGAGCACTAAAACGCAACATAAAGATACTTACCCTTACCCCACATATTCACTCTTGACCCCTAGGTCAGTCATCACATCAAGCCCTCCCGCTGAAATCGTTCATGTAGTACATTGTGCAAGTCGTTTGTGTATTTTTCTAACTTTACATCAATTATGTCTAGTTTGGAATGGAAGCCTTTTTTTTTTTTTTTTCAACATTTATTTATTTTTGGGACAGAGA